AGACCCTCACGAACAAATAAAGCGTGTTGCGTCTAACCTCCGCTTTGTACCGTCTCTCTGTGTGTCTCTCAGTGGGCTTACTCTATCTACCTGTGGTGCTTCTAGAGACTGTTAATCGAGGGTACTGTGCTCTGTGTATGCGTGTGCGTGCTACTGCTACGTGCGACTGTAAATAAGACGAAAGCGAGAATGAGCTCGTACACGTAAAAAAAAACAAAAAAACCCAAGGGCTGACTCGTTTTCAAGGTGTGTCAGACTTCCCGCAGACGGAGAAGTGTGCCAGTACCTCGCTCTGTTTTAAGAGTGTATAGCTAGCTGATCATGTGGCCGGGAGCAATAGTATCTTGTGTGTTTTTTCTGATCCCGTGATATATTAAGTCTTTGAGGCGAAGTTGATGTTGCACTGCAGTTGGGCAACACGGAGGTTTCTGAATGTTGATTGGCTGAGAGCACCCAAACCACGCCCTGTTTTATGACACGTTCTCCTCCGTCGCGATAGCTGATTGGCTGAGAGAGGGGGCGAGGGCAGAGAACGATTTGTTATTGTCGTTTGGTCTCCACGTGGAAGCCATCTAAAAGAAGTATCATGTCATGAAAAATTCCCAAAGATAAAAAACATGAAAAGAAAATTTCGTGTTATGCCTATTTCCCGGAGTGTTGAAATATAAACTGCCTTTAGCAGGATTTTTCCGAGTCGAATGTGACCACCAATAAATGTGTTTAAAGCTCAACGCTTGAATAAAGATAGGAACCTTATTTAGGCTTCAGCAACTGCTACCTCGATATAATTCATTGATATATATGTATAGATAGATAGATTTAGGTATAGATATATAGATATAGGTATAGATAGATAGATATATATAGATATAGACAGATATAGATATAGATAGATGGATATAAATATAGATAGAAGTATATAGATATTGTGTGTGATAAACTGTTGAGACAGGAGATATATACCGGTAAAGGCAGAGAGAGAGAGAGAGAGAGAGAGAGAGAGAGAGAGAGAGAGAGAGAGAGAGAGAGAGAGAGAGAGAGAGAGAGAGAGAGAGAAGGGGGGGGATGAGAGAGAGGAAAGGACAAGGAGAGAGAGGGGGAAGGAGAGAGGGAGGGTAGTGAGAGAGAGAGACAGACAGACAGACGGACACACAAACAGACAGAAAGAAAGAGAGAGAAAGCCAGACAGGCAGAGAAAGGTGAGAGAGGGGCATAGGCGTAGGAGCCAGGGGGCTGGGGGGGCTGCAGCCCCCCCAGTCGGGTAAATGCTGATTGAATTCGGGAAATTTTGGATAGGGACGTAGATAGGAAAATCCATAGAGGGGGCGAGAAATGAAAATATCCCGACAAAAATTTGACACTAATTCTCATTTTTTATTATTTTGAACATCACATAAGGCCACTAGAACTAAACGAAACAGAAAACTTCTATCTAAATTTCATCACAAATTTTCTGGCAGGTGAAATTTCTCTTCCTCTTTCACTCGGGTAGAAAATTTGCAGCCCCCCCCTAAATTTTAAATGCCCCTACGCCGATGGAGAGGGGTGAGAGAGAGGAAAGGATAGAGCGAGAGGGGGGGAGGGAGGGAGGGTAATGAGAGAGAGAGAGAGAGAGAGAAAGAGAGAGAAGAGAGAGAGAAAGAGAGACAGACAGACAGACAGATAGACACATAGACAGAAAGAAAGAAAAAAAGAGAAAGCCAGACAGGCAGAGAAAGAGAGAGAGCCACACATATACATACACATAGGAGAGAGAGAGAGAGAGAGAGAGAGAGAGAGAGAGAGAGAGAGAGAGAGAGAGAGAGAGAGAGAGAGAGAGAGAGAGAGAGAGAGAGACAAACACACAAAGAGAACGAGTGCGAGACAGAGAGAATGAGAGAGGAAGAAAATAAACAGACACGGGAGAATTCCCTTCCTTAGAACTGGGTTAACTCCTGACGATTCGCTTGCCTCAACGAACGCAGGTCCCGATTGTCCCAAAGGCCGAAATCATTCTCAATCTCTCTCTCTCTCTCTCTCTCTCTCTCTCTCTCTCTCTCTCTCTCTCTCTCCTCTCCCTCTCCCCCTCTCTCTCTCTCTCTCTCTCTCTCTCTTTCTCTCTCTCGAAGACATTGCATTGACTCCTTGACCTAAATATAGAAACAGGTAACTCTTGCAAAGCCCTCGGCCGTTGAGGTATCTCGAAAGACGCTCATTTCGGATCCCAAAACGCCGAGAACATCATGGTGATGTAACAAGAAGAGAGGTAATGAAGTCTTAGTAGTGCCAAGGATGACGCAGGGTGAAGGCACGACACGCCGCGACGGCAAGTCATGCTGGCACCGAACTATCCCTTTTTGACACTTGCCATGGTAGCTGTTAGGAGATGGCAACGTAGTCTGTACTATGTGATTTTGATGAAGATGAAAATATTCCGATGTAATGTTTAGAAGGGATGGTTAGATATGTGGCAATATGGCAATGTCTTGATTTTTTTCCTGAAAGTGTGTCATCTTGATTTCACAACTAGATTTATGAAGAAAAAATCAAAATCCATCACGTAGGCCTAGATATTTGAGCAAAACATTGTACTGAAACCATTTTATATTAAGGACATTTTTTTCAATTTTAAAGAGGGAAAGAAGTTTTCTTACATGAAAACACGAGAAAATACACACAAAAAAAGAAAGAAAAGAAAATAAAAAGAAAAAAGAAAAAGAAAGAAAAGAAAAAAAAAGAAAAAAGAAAAAGAAAGAAAAGAAAAGAAAAAGAAAGAAAGAAAAAGAAAGAAAAAAAAGAAAGAAAAGAAAAGAAAAAGAAAGAAAAGAAAAAGAAAAAGAAAGAAAAAAGGAAAGAAAAGAAAAGAAAAAGAAAAAAAGAAAGAAAAAAAGAAAAGAAAAAAGAAAGAAAGAAAGAAAGAAAACAAAACAAAAACATATATATATATATATATATATATATATATATATATATATATATATATATATATATATATATATATATATATATATATATATATATATATAAACACACACCAGCTTCCCATCAACATATTGACAATCATTCACAAATATCACCATATAACACTACATATACTCACGTAACACACAAACCTTCCATTCATTCACTACACAAAGATTAAACTTGGAGAATAAGTGCAGGGACCCGTTTTCTCCACGCGTGCATCTTGTCGATTCTAAAATAACCCCTTTATCATCAGATCCCTTAAAATAGGGCCTGAGGGAAGGAGGCAAGGGCAGTTAGGGAGTTGAGTCACGCCCCAAAATGTGGTTTCCCGAAGGATATTGTTTTTTTTATGGCCTTTATACGTAGCTTTTGTTTATGTTTTTTTTTTTTTTTTTACACTAAGAGTCCTTAGCTTGGTGCTTGCGAGGGTCTTTGGGCTCTGTGATGGGCTGGCGCTGCTCTTTGGCTGTGGGTGGGGGGGAGGCGTGCCCGCGAGAATTATCTTTTGGGAAGACCATCGATATCTATCTATCTATCTATATCTATCTTTCTATCTAACTATATCTATCTATCTATCTATCTATCTATTTATCTATCTGTCTAGTCTCTCTCACACACACATATGTATATACATATATATATATATATATATATATATATATATATATATATATATATATATATATATATATATATATATATATATATAGCAAAAATATGTATATATATAGTAAAAATATATTTTTACACACACACACACACACACACACACACACACACACAAATATATATATATATATATATATATATATATATATATATATATATATATATATATATATATATATATATATTATATAAACGCGATCATAATGGTGCTCTCACAATCATCCACAAAACAGGTGGTGCTCATCAGCTTAAAAAAAACAGGGAACACTTGGTTTAGACATTAGTTGACAAGTATTATACAGAAATGTATATACGAACAAAGTTGGATAGATGTAGGTGTGTTAGACATATGTGTATATACGTATATATCGTCTCTGTCTGTCTGTCTGTCTGTCTGTCTGTCTGTCTCTCTCTCTCTCTCTCTCTCTCTCTCTCTCTTTCTCTCTCTTTCTCTCTTTCTCTCTTTATGTGTATATATATATATATACATATATATATATATATATATATATATATATATATATATATATATATATATATATATATACATATATATATATTATATATATATACATATTATATATATATATATATATATATATATATATATATATATATATATATATATATATATATATATATATATATATTACATATATATATATATATATATATATATATATATATATATATATATATATATATATACATGTATGTATATATATCTTTGTGTGTGTGTGTGTGTGTGTGTGTGTGTGTGTGTGTGTGTGTGTGTGTGTGTGTGTGTGTGTGTGTGTGTGTGTGTGTGTCTGTGTGTATTTTTTCATTAATTTTTTTGTTACTTGAGTTTGCATATATATATATATATATATATATATATATATATATATATATATATATATGTCTATCTATCTATCTATCTATCTATCTATCTATCTATCTATATATATATAGATAGATAGATAGATAGAGAGAGAGAGAGAGAGAGAGAGAAGAGAGAGAGAGAGAGAGAGATAGACAGATAGATAGATTGATAGATAGATAGACAGATAGACAGATAGATATAGATATACAATATATATATATATATATATATATATATATATATATATATATATATATATATATATTGTATATATATTTTATATATATTGTATATATATTTTATATATATTGTATATATACATATATATATAATAAGTATGTATGTATGTTCATTCACTCAATTGCAAAATCCATCTAGCTTCCCGCTCTCCTTGGTTCAAGTCTTCGTCAGAAAGAACATTTAGACATCCTACACCATTCGGTTATATTAAAACTCTCTCTCTATCTCTCCGTAGTTTATTACAGCCGAATCGTCTCTGTGCATGGCAACAGAGCCAAAA